CCCACCCTGGCTCCTCTCCCCTCCCTGCCCCAGCCTCCCCTCAGAGACCAGCAGGACCCATTCCAGGGGGCAGAGTTAGAGGCTGCTGGCACCCAGGGAACGTCCAGCACACACTCAACATACCTTGACCAAGCATCCATGGTGTGATAAGCACTGTACCAGGCGCTTGACCCAAATCCTCATGGAAATCTCAGGTATCATGGTCCTAGCCTGTAGGAGACAACAGACTCAGAGACTCAGAGACATGCAGTGACTGGGGCAGGCACACACAGGAAGAGTGACACATGGGGATTCTAGCCCAGTCAGCCCTGTCTCCCCAGCCCACAGCATTTCCAGGGTTCCCCGAGCCCTGACTTAGGAGCCCAAGGGGTCATCCTCACTCCTAGGAAGCCCATATCTCAGCTGAGAGCAGCGAGCACTGTTTCTTGGGCATCTGCTCTGCCAGGCTCTGGCTGGGTCCTTGGCACATCTCAGCTTGGGGACCTCCCAACAGCCTATGGTGACTGTCATCCCTAAGGTTTTTAGTTTAAAAAATGGCAAAGACTCAACTGCATGCCAGGGAAATGGCATTAGGTGAATGAGGAGTGGGCCCAGTGTGGCCCTCTTTGGGACAGTGTGAAGGGTGACATGCTTTTGTTTGATCCACAGCATCCTAGGAGATGTTTTGGGGCATCTGACTTGGGAGCAACATCCTATTATATCATAATGAGAACAAAAAATAAAACTGGTAAGCCATGCTGGCTGCATTTATCTGGGTCCCCCCATGCCAGCCCTACAGGCAGTCCTAGGCCTGAGACTTAAAGGAAGTGGTGTCATCCCTCCTCCTGGCCACATCTGCTCACCCACTGAATTCTACGGAACTCCATTCTCCTGGGGGTGTCAAATCTCCCCCCCTCCCGCCCCATGACCTCTAGGACTTCCTCCCTTCCCACCCTGTGCCACCACCACACCTGGAACTTGGTCATCCCCCAAGGGAATGAACCCCAGTGTCCAATCTCTGACCACAGCCTCCTGGCCCCCTAGCCTCCTGGCTCCCGCTGCATACCTGCAGTCCTGTCTCTTCCTGCCCCTAGACCTCAGGCCCACCCTCCCTCTTGCGGCTTTTGTAGCTCCTACTTCCAGACACCTCCAGCTTGATTCCACCTTTCTGCTGTCCCACATCTGCACTGGGTGTGGTCTGGAGAAAGTTGCAGCCTGAAGCCTCTGCAGATTCATCATGCCCTCCACACCCCTAGCTCTCTGCCTTCCCAGCAACCATTCTGAGGTGGATATTTGTCACCCATTCATTCACTTATCCATCCACTCACTTACCGAGCACCTACTAAGTGCCAGCACAATCTGCTGCATGAGGGGTACATGGTGAGCATTTGCCGGGGACAAGGTGGAGTAAGATAGGGAAAGAGACCTTTAAACCACAGAAAAACCAGGAGGGAAATAGTCAAGGGTGGGGGTTGTACCCGTCCTCAGGGTGGCTTCTTATTCTGAAATGGGAGGGTGGGAAGGAAACCTCCTGGGAGGAGCAGAAGGAAGGGTGCTCTAACCAGAAGGATGAGCATGGGCAAAGTGGGACGAGGGAGGGAAACTGGATGTTTTTTTTTTTTAAATTGAGATATAATTGGGGATCCCTCGGTGGCGCAGCAGTTTGGCGCCTGCCTTTGGCCCAGGGCGCGATCCTGGAGACCCGGGATCGAGTCCCACATCGGGCTCCCGGTGCATGGAGCCTGCTTCTCCCTCTGCCTGTGTCTCTGCCTCTCTGTGACTATCATAAATAAATAAAAATTTAAAAAAAAATAAATTGACATATAATTGACATATAACATTGTGTGAGTTTCAGGTATACAACACATTGATTTGACATATTTATATTGCAATGTGATTTGCATTGTGGTGCCAGCTAACACCTCCGTCACATCACAGAATTGTCATTTCTTCTAGCGGTGGGAATAATTGAGACCAGTCTCTTAGCAGATTTATTGTTTTTTTTTTTTTTAAAGATTGTATTTAGGGATCCCTGGGTGGCGCAACGGTTTGGCGCCTGCCTTTGGCCCAGGGCGTGATCCTGGAGACCCGGGATCGAATCCCACATCGGGCTCCCAGTGCATGGAGCCTGCTTCTCCCTCTGCCTCTCTCTCTCTCTCTCTCTCTCATAAATAAAAAAAAAATAAAGATTGTATTTATTTATTCACGAGAGACACACACAGAGGGAGGCAGAGATATAAGCAAAGGGAGAAGCAGGCTCCCCATGGGGAGCCTGATGTGGGACTCGATCCCAGGACCCCAGGATCACGACCTGAGCCAAAGGCAGATACTCAACCACTGAGCCACCCAGTCGCTCCCAGATTTATTATCATACAGTTTGGTTGTCTATAATCCCTGCACTGTGTTACATCTCCAGGATTTATTTATCTTCCAGTCGCTGGTATGTACCCTGGAACCATCCCTGGCAGCCAGTGTTCCTTTTTGGTTTTTGAAATCAGTTTTGTCACTGTTTTTAGATTCCACCTATAAGGCGCATCATACCATGCGTGTTTTTCTCCATCTCACATATTTCCCTTAACATAATATCTCTGAGGTCCATCCGTGCTGTTGCAAATGGCAGAATTTCCTCTTCTTCCTCATAACTGAAAAGTGTATCATTTAGATTTGTGCACTACATTTCCTTCATCCATCTATTGATGGACACTTAGGTTGTTTGTGTATCTCGGCAATTGTAAATAATACTGCAGTGTGGCACCTGGTGGCTCAGTTGTAAAGCAGCAGACTCTGGGTTTTGGCTCAGGTCATGATCTCAGGGTCTTGGGATCAAGCCCTGCATCAGGCTCCATGTTCAGTGGGGACTCTGCTTGGGATCTTCTCTCCCTCTCCCTCTGCCCCTCTCGCCCACTCTCTCTCTCTCTCTCTCTCTCTCTCTTTCTCTCTCTCTCTCTCTAAAGTAAATAAAATCTTTAAAAAATAATACTGGGAGTATAAAAAGTAACATGGGAGTACAGATATATTTTTGATAACTTGTTTTCATTTCCTTTGGATATACATCTAGACGTGGGATTGCTAGATCCTATGGTAGTTCTATGTGAGTTTTCTTTTTTTTTTTTTTAAAGATTTTATTTATTTATTCATGAGACACACACACACAGAGAGGTAGAGACACAGGCAGAGGGAGAAGCAGGCTCCATGCAGGGAGCCTGACGTGGGACTGGATCCCAGGACTCCGGGATCACACCCTGGGCCGAAGGCAGGCACCAAACCGCTGAGCCACCCAGGGATCCCCTATTGTGAGTCTTCTGAGGAATTTCCAGACTAGTCTCCAAAATGGCTGGACCCATTTACCATTCTACCAACCATGCACAACGGTCCCCTTTTCTCTATATCCTCGCCAATGCTTATTATCTGTTATCTTCTTGATGATAGCCTTTTTTATAGGCGTGCTTTTGATTTGCTTTTCTCTGATTACTGAGGCTGAGGACCCTTTCATGGATCTGTTGGCTAATGGGATGTCTTCTTTGGAAAAAAATGTCTAATTCTTCTGCCCATTTTAAAATCAGAATGTTTGCTTTTTGCTATTGAGTTGTATGAATTCTTCATAAATTTTGGATATTAACCCCTTATCTGATATGTGGTTTACAAATATTCCCTCCCATTCTGTAGATTGCCTTTCTATTTTAATGGTTTCTTTTGCAACACAAAGGCTTTTTTAAATAAAGATTTTATTTATTTGAGAGAGACTGAGAGAGCACAAGCAGGGGGAGGGGCAGAGAGAGAGGGAGAAGCAGACTCCCAGGTGAACAGGGAGCCCAATGTGGGGCTCCATCCCAGGATCCTGGGATCTTGACCTGAGCCGAAGGCAGATGCTTAACCGGCTGAGCCACCCAGGTGCCCCTGCAGTGCAGAAGCTTTTAAGTTTGATGTAGTCCCACCTGTTGATTTTTTTTCTTGTGTTGTTCTTGCTTTTGGTGTCATATCCCTCCCCGCCCCCCCCCCCACCAAAAAAAAAACTTTCCAAGACCATTGCCAAGGAGCTTCTTCCCTATTTTTTTTCTAGAATTTTTATGGTATCAGGTCTTATGTTTAAGCCTTTGATCCATTTCAAATTAAATTTTGTGAGGATGTAAGATGGAGGTCCGATTTCACTTTTCTGCGTGTGGTTTCCAAGGTTTCCTAACACCATTTGTTGAAGAGTCTGACCTGGGAACTGTATATTTTTAAAAGCTTCCGAAGTGTTCCCAACCTGGGTGATAACCAGCGCTGCGAAGCCCCGCCTCGTGCAAGGCAAGAACTTCGCCAACTCGGCGCAGCCCAGACCCAGCTTGGAGGCTCTGGTCCTGCCTCAGGGTCGACCCACTGGAGTCCAGCAGAAGCTCAGCCTTCCACCGCCCCCGCCAGGGCTCCCACCTGCAGGTGCCGAGCTGAAACTGGAGGGCGCATGGGAGGTGCGCACCGGCTGTCACGTCCCGTGGTGTGGGAGCCCTCTGTGAGGCTGCTCTGGGGCCTCTGACCTGCAAACACACCACACGGGGCTTGTGCCTCTGTTTCCTCACTCGGTACTTTCCTAAGGCTTTGCATTAATTTAGCAATCCGGTAACAGCCCTGGGAAGCAGCGCCGAGTGAGAAAACTGAGGCATAAAGTGGAATGAATTCCCAAAGTTTTAAAGCCAGGAAGCGGCTGCGTGGAGATTCGAACTCACACCACGAGTCTGGGAGGCCGAGTCCTGGCTGCACAGGCACCCAGGACACGCCCCTCCTGGCCCCGCGCGCCCTGGACACGCCCCTCCTGGCCCCGCGCGCCCTGGAACGCCCCTCCTGCCCCCGCGCGCCCTGGAACGCCCCTCCTGGCCCCGCGCGCCCTGGACACGCCCCTCCTGGCCCCGCGCGCCCTGGAACGCCCCTCCTGGCCCCGCGCGCCCTGGAACGCCCCTCCTCCCCCCGCGCGCCCTGGACACGCCCCTCCTCCCCCCGCGCGCCCTGGACACGCCCCTCTCGAGAAGGCGGCCCGCAGGGCGGGGGCAGGTCCCGGCCGCCCGGAGGAAGTGCCCTGCCCGCCGCTCGCAAGCAGAGGGGCCGCCGCCAGTGCTCCAGCGGGGTCTCGGGCCATGGAAGCGGAGCCGCCGCTCTACCGGGTGGCGGGGGCTGCGGGGGCGCAGGGCGATGAGGACCGGCTCGGGGTCCCAGACGGGTCCGGGGCTCCGGTGAGCGGGGACGGGTCTATGAGGGGGTGCAGAGCGCGGGGGCCTCCCCGGCGAGGGTGAGAGACAGCCCCCTAGGCGGGCCGTGCGGGGCGCGGGGGGGCCGGGCAGCGGGTGCGGGGAGGGGGGCACCCGGAGCCTCCCCGGCCGGGGTGCGGTGCGGCCCTGGGGCCTTGCCCGCGTGCGAGCGCCGTTCGTGCCCCGCAGCTGGACGAGCTGGTGGGCGCGTATCCCAACTACAACGAGGAGGAGGAAGAGCGCCGCTACTACCGCCGCAAGCGCCTCGGCGTGCTCAAGAACGTGCTGGCGGCCAGCACCGGCGGCATGCTCACCTACGGCGTCTACCTGGGTAGGCGGCGCGCCCTGGCCCGGCCCGGCCCGGCCCGGCCCGGCCCGGCGCTGGGGGCGGCCCCGCGGGCTCCCGCGCTAGAACCCACGGCTTCCCGCCCCGGCCAGGGAAGGAGAAACCTTAGGGGCCTCTTCCCCCCTTCCTCTTTCACTTCCCCAAATGACCCCTAGCAGCTGCTGCTGCGGCCCCAGCACATGAGTCAGGGTCCCTGTGCAGTGTCCCTGATTCCCGGCACGAGCCTTCGTGAGCGTGCGGGCGGGGACTGGGTGCCCTGGGCAGGTAAGCTGCCTTCCAGATCTGGAGCGCTGCACGTGTGTGTGTCGGAGGGGTGGGTGGTGGTGTCAGGGGTGAAGTGGGGCGAGGGTCTGGATTCAAGTCGCTGTCGCTGCCGCTGACAGGATGCTTGCTTGGCCCCATCAGGGCAGCCCTCTCTGTTCTCAGGGGCATTGGAATCTGGGACTCCTTCGGTGACTGGAGTTCCCTTCAAGCTCGTGTGCCAGCAAGTCAGGCTGCCCCCTCCATGGCTGCTCCCTATCCCCAGGCCTCCTGCAGATGCAACTGATCCTGCACTATGATGAGACCTACCGTGAGGTGAAGTATGGCAACATGGGCCTGCCGGACATTGACAACAAGATGCTGATGGGCATCAACGTGACCCCCATCGCGGCTCTGCTCTACACACCTGTGCTCATCAGGTGCGAGGCTGCTGTCCACAACAGGGCTGGTCTTCAGATGTTGAAGGGGCATAAGGGCTGTTGCCCGTGGTGTTCCCAGGGCAGGAAGCTGGGGAGAAGCCTTGTCTACCTGGTGGGGTGAGAGAGAAGGGGAAAACCTGAGTTTGGGGAAGGAAACAAACTTCTCCTCAGGGCATATGTGCATGTGACAACAGAAGTTCACTCCTGCTCCTTTCCTCAGCTTGCCCATGACCCACATGGCATTGTCTTTATGTCTGCCCCCCCCCCCGCCCCGCCCCATGGCCTGGAGCTACAGTGAGTGACTTTTGGGATCAAGGCTGTGGACTCTCTGGAGAGAATGTGACAGCCAGCAAGACCCAGGCTCCAAGTCCAGCCTTATCAGCTGTGGTCAGTGTTGAGGGACATTTCTCACTGAAAAGGAAGGGCCCCGCAGGTGCCCCAGAGGGTTGACCCTGGACCTGAGCCTTGGAGGCATCTGTTCCAGGCTCCTGGCCAGTGCATAATTCCCCTCGACAAGTACCCTCCCCACCAGGAGGTAGGTCTCTGCTCAGATGAGACCCAGAGACTAGCCTACAAATTAGATGAGTTTTAGTTCCTCTATCTTAAACCAAACCCCCAAAACCAACCAAATAAGAAACAAACAAAAAAAACCCTCCCAACCCAAAAAACCCCAAACTCCTTTAACATAATTGTACAATCAGTGTTAGAATCATAACTGAAATCAGAAGAAACAAAAACCTACCCAAGCCCTCCAGTAAATCAGCTGTTCATCATCCCACTAGCCCATATAGGTAACATTTATGTCCTTGTCACCAGAGCATGTGCAATGTTCACTTTTCCTTTTCTTTCTTTTCACTGTGCACATCTTGGCCTGCTCCTCAGTCTTCACCCCAAGGACCTTATGAGGGTAGCATCTTCTACCTGGGCACAGGTAGTGCAGCTCAGAGTTGGACATTCACCTTACCCCCTTTGTGCAGATTCACTTTGAGCTTGTAGCTCTTCTCCATTTTTTTTTAACTTTATTTATGATAGTCACAGAGAGAGAGAGAGAGGCAGAGACACAGGCAGAGGGAGAGGCAGGCTCCATGCACTGGGAGCCTGACGTGGGATTCGATCCCGGGTCTCCAGGATTGCGCCCTGGGCCAAAGGCAGGCGCCAAACCACTGCGCCACCCAGGGATCCCTCTTCTCCATTTTTTAAAAAAGATTTTATTTGTTTGAGACAGAACAGGAGCAGGGGGAGGGGTGCAGGGAGGGGGAAAGGGAGAAGCAGACTCCCTGCTGAGTGCCCAGTAGGATACCCGGAGTGCATCCAGGGATGCTGAGATCATGACCTGGGCTGAAGTCAGAGGCCTGACCCACCAAGCCACCCAGGCACCCCTAGTTCCTTCCTTCTTAAAATTAAGAAACAAAAAATTGCTCTAAGTTTCTAGCAGTGGCCTTAGCAGATTAGAGCTATATGAAAGGCTTTACGGCTCTTGAATCACCTTGATAATAACAGCTAGCTTTTATTTTGTTTCCAATGTGCTAGGCACTTTGTAAATGCTACCTCATGCCCTATGATCCGAGGTAGGTGCTCTAGCAGACACAGAGAAACTGAGACATTCCACAGCTTGCCCACCAGGCCCCACAGGCAGCACCTGGCAGTCTGAAAGTTTGAATCCCTTACCCCAAGCTTGCCCCTTGCCCAAACTACCGGACTAATTTTCTTTTTCGTTTTCTTTTCTTTTCTTTTCTTTTTCTTTTTCTTTTTCTTTTTCTTTTTCTTTTTCTTTTTCTTTTTCTTTTTCTTTTCTTTCCTTTCTTTTCTTTTCTTCTTTCTTTTCTTTCTTTCCTGGACTGATTTTCTAAAGGGCCATGCCAATCTGCATGACCACAGGTTGTATGCATCATTTTTTAAAAGCACAAGCCTCACCAGCAGTGAGGGTTAGTATTTTTACTTTTTGCTCGTTTACTCCATCAAGATGTACAGTACATTTTTTGTGACTTACCCTCCCCAAAATAGATCAGAGTGGGCTGCCTGTCTGTTTATGCCATGGCAAAATATGGATAAGGACTAGGGACTTGTAACTGAAGAGAGAGTAATTGTATCAGAAAATTAGGGTTGTTTGTCTTTGAACTTCCTGGAAACCAAGGCAAAGAAAGGAACTAATGGGCACAAATACTCAAAACACCCCAAAGCTCCTGGTAGTGGTTTTCAGCTTGACGAGCCTCCATGCCCTGAATGGGCCCTTATCTTGTCACTACCTTTAAACACAGTGTGACATTTTCTCAGAGTCAGCAAGGCTGTAGTCCTAGGAGTCAGTGGGGCAGAAGCTTCCCAAATGACTACAGTGGACTGCAAGAGCGATGGGCAGGGAGGAGGTCCTGGGCCTGCCTCTGACCCTTCTCAGGTCCTAGTTTCCTTGCCCCAGTTTGGCTTGTGTTCTGGGTGCCCTGACGTCCCAGCACATGAGAGTGGATGGAGACCGGGGGACTGGCCAGCCAGCCCAGAACACAGATGACGGCCAGGTGTGCCCACAGACCACTGACTTGTGACTGCTCCCCTCTTATCTCCTTTCCTTGCAGTGGCCATGAGAGGCTTGTGGTTTGGGTTCTGTGCCCACATTAAGCGGTGAAAACCTGAGTGTGTGGATACAGGGCTTCCCTGAGACCATCAGCAAGTCCACATCTCTGCTATTTCATTTTAGGGCCCCTGACTCCAAGGCCTGGGATTGCTCCCTACCTCACACCACTTCATGAGCTGTGGCCACTCTGGTTTCAGGCCACAGTAGTCTCGGTAGGCTCATGGTCCCAGCATCCTTCCCACTGCCCACAGGTTTTTTGGCACCAAGTGGATGATGTTTCTGGCTGTGGGCATCTATGCCCTCTTTGTCTCCACCAACTACTGGGAGCGTTACTACACCCTTGTGCCCTCAGCTGTGGCCCTGGGCATGGCCATTGTGCCACTTTGGGCCTCCATGGGCAATTACATCACCAGGTGAGTCTGGTGGGCAACAAGGTGGGAGGCTGGAGACCTGGCTGAGTCTCTGCTGCATTGCCAACCTTATCTGGGGGACCTTGGGCAGCACTTCCTGCCTTTTGGGTCTCAGTTTCCCCATCTATGAGACATAGCACCCTTATGGTGCACCCCTGGGTGCAGGAAGCAGAGACCTGTTTAGAGAATGGACTGGGGGAAGCTTTCTCTCCTCTGTGGTTCAGGATGGCTCAGAAGTATTACGAGTACTCCCACTATAAGGAGCGGGATGAGCAGGGCCCCCAGCAGCGCCCGCCTCGGGGCTCCCATGCACCATACCTCCTGGTCTTCCAAGCGATCTTCTATAGCTTCTTCCATGTGAGTACCACCTATGGGGCCACTGAGGGAGGGTATTCCAGGACCACATTCTAGTTTTTTCATCCCTCTAGTCCCACTGCCCTTTCTTGAGCCCACATCTGGTTATTTACCTCTAGTGACTGAGATCTCATCCCCTCCCTGTGCAGAAGAAAGTCCTCCTGCATTGGGCACTCCCTCCTGCCACCAGGCTGCCCCGGGAAGTGGGAGGGCTCCTGTTCTGCCAAGGCTGCACCCAGACCCCTTCCAGGTTCTGTGCCCCTACCTGGTTCTGAGCCCATGCCAAGCTGCTCTCCTGCCCACAGCTGAGCTTCGCCTGTGCCCAGCTGCCCATGATCTACTTCCTGAACCACTACCTGTATGACCTGAACCACACACTCTACAACGTGCAGAGCTGCGGTTAGTCCTCATGGGGTGGGGTCCCCAAGGTTTGCTTGCCCCTGCCATTGAGTCATCCAGCAGACACTAGGCTCTTTAAGAGCACCCAGAGAGGATGCCCTTGCCCGCAGGTTCAGGGCTGAGAGCCTGGTGGCCCACAGCTCTCATGGGCACAGCATAGGGCCCTATAGGAGTATGCAGTTAGAACATTAGACGTGGTCTGGTGGGGACAGAGTGCATCAGGGAAGGCTGCCTGGAAGAGATGCCATCTGGGCTGAGGCTTCTGGGGATTATCTCTCAGTGCCATGCATACCCTCAGAGCTCAACCACAGCAGGGTGAATGTATGGGGTGGTGGGGGGGAGTGGCGGCCCCCCTCCAGCCTCCAGGCACTAGAGCATGAAAGGGGGGAAGGTGCTCCTCTCCTTGCCACTGGTCTAGCCCCAGCGGCCCTCACCTCCACACTGCTCCCCAAGTGAACCCTTCCTTTGCAAGCACTGTCCTCGCCCACCACCTCCAACTCTCCCCTCCACCTGCCCTCCTTGCTCCATTTCTTTGTGGTTGAGTTGACGGTGTGCTCGATTCCCCGTCCCCACTCGCCTCTAGGTACTAACAGCCAGGGCATCCTCAGTGGCTTCAACAAGACTGTTCTGCGGACGTTACCACGGAGCGGGAACCTCATTGTGGTGGAGAGTGTGCTCATGGCGGTGGCTTTCCTGGCCATGCTGCTGGTGCGCCCGGGATGGGGTGGGGCGAAGTCAACGAAGTCTGGGGACCGAGGAGGGGAGAAAGGGGTGCGATCTGGGTACGTTGCTGGCAGCCTGGGCAAGGTTATGGCTTGGAGTCCTGGTCTGAGCTGGGAGCCAGGCCTGAGCCCTGGGGAAGGGGGTCTGAACCTAGGACCCAGGCCAGAGGCTTGGGACTGAGCCTGGATTTGGAATCCCAGAGGCCAAGGGTTAGGGAACCAAGCCCGGTCCAGGGTGGAGCTGGAGACGGGGTCTGAGAGACTGGGCTGTGGGCCGAATGAGGGTGGGGGCGTGGCCACCTCCTGGAGGCGGAGCTGGGGGTAAGGTCGAGGCCTGAGCTCCGGGGGTGGGCCCGGCGCTCAGCAAGCGGGTCCGCAGGTGCTGGGGCTGTGCGGCGCCGCCTACCGGCCCACTGAGGAGATCGACCTGCGCAGCGTGGGCTGGGGCAACATCTTCCAGCTGCCCTTCAAGCACGTGCGCGACTTCCGCCTGCGGCACCTCGTGCCCTTCTTTATCTACAGCGGCTTCGAGGTGCTCTTTGCCTGCACTGGGCTCGCCCTGGTGAGTACCGCCTGCATAGTGTCGCCAGATAAAACACAGGGCTTCCAGCTGAATTCATATTTCAGATAAAAGATGAGTAGGTTTTGAATACATGTCTTAAGTATGACAAGGGCGTCCCAGATATTCCCCTCCCTCTTTCTTCTCTTCCCTGGCTTCCCCCCCACCCCTCGGCTTAGGCAAATTATTTTAAGCTCTCTGGGCCTCAGTTTCCTTATCTGTGAAGTGATTCCAGTAAGGATGCTTACTCCCAAAGGTTCTAATACAGTTGGGACGGAATGAGGCCCATAAAGCGTGTGGTTCCATGCCGGGCACAACCTTGGTATCTGGACCCTGTCAAAGCCTTTTCTCTAGCCTGTACCTTCAGAACCTTCCCATGCACCTTGGAGGGAGTTCATGAGGGGGCCCAGGGAGGACAGGGTATGACCCAGAGACTTCAGGTGGGGAGGGCTAGAGCCTGGGCCAGCTGACCCCTAACACTCACCCTCGTCCATCCCCCCCCCCCCCCAGGGCTATGGTGTGTGCTCAGTGGGACTGGAACGCCTAGCCTACCTCCTTGTGGCTTACAGCCTGGGCGCGTCAGCCTCCTCAATCCTAGGCCTGCTGGGGCTGTGGCTGCCACGCCCAGTGCCTCTGGTGGCTGGGGCTGGCCTGCACCTGCTCCTCACACTTGGCCTCTTTTTCTGGGCCCCTGCACCTCGGGTCCTGCAACACATTTGGATCCTCTACGTAGCAGCTGTCCTCTGGGGTGTAGGCAGTGCCCTCAATAAGACCGGGCTCAGCAGTGAGTACACCCATGGGCACTGGGATGGCGGGGGACCCTGTGGTTACCTCAGGGTGGTTGGGGAGGAGCACAGAACTTCCAGGGACAGACGTAGAACCCCATGGGTATACTGGGGATCTGTTACGGTGGAGGTAGGTGGGGATCCCTGTAGACACTCCAGGAGTGGAAGGAAGTTCCATGGACTGCAGGGACAGATGGGGAGGGCTGTGGACACACAGGGGAGTTGCATGCCATGGACATCCTGTGGACACCCCAGGGTGGGCTTGGGGCCTCATGGACACTGCAGGGTTAGTGTGAGGTCTTGTGGCTACAAGGAATAGGTATGGCGCTCTGTGGGCACCCCGAGGGTGAAAAAACACATGGGGAATACTTTGCTTTCATACCTATGCCCACCTTGGCATAGTTTTCATGGCACTGGGAGCAGATTGCTGCTCCGTGCTCTAGGGAGCATGGGCAGCAGTGGGTGAGCCTGTCCACACTCCAGGGTGCAGTTGCAGACAGGGCCCTTTTCTGGAGAAGAGCTGGGAGCAGACATGGAGTCCCAACACCAGTCTGCCAAGTGGCAGAGTCCAGGCCCTGAGTCTGGGCTGATGGGGTGAGAGCATTGGCCAGTAGAGCTCTGTTTGCAGAAAGAGGGGTGGGTCAGAGTTCAACTGTGTGATCTCTCTGCCCACAGGTGGGCATATGCCAGTGACACATAGCTGGGACATGCAGGTATCGCTCTTCAGGTCTTCCACACCAGGATCTATTCTGATGGGCCAGTGCTATTAACAGTTTTGAACATCACCCCGGAGGTGTGGTGTGGTAGGGCATGCCCACTGTGGGCAGGGCAGGGGCTGACTCAGGTGCTCCCACCATCAGAGAGGCATCTGTACTTGTCATAGGGCAAGGAGCCCCAACCCTGGGCCGTACTCCCTTGGCTGTTGCTCAGAGGCAGCCGGCTCTGGGCAGCATCCAGCCTGGGTAGCTTGGGCCCACAGTAAGTCTGGAACTGGGTCTTGACCTGGCATCCCCTTCTGCCTGCCCAGCTCTGCTTCCTGCCTCTTCTGAACCATGGAGGCTCCATGTCCCTTCACAGCAGGCCCGAGGGGTAGAGTCATACTGCAAGGCCTTAGGGTAGGCATGTTAATGTCCTGAGTGACAGGGGAGGGTACAATTTGCCAGATGCTATATGGGCTTTCTCACATTAAAATCACAGAACACAACATAATATGTGTCATCTCATTTTATGAATAGGAAAACTGGCCATGGGGACTTAACTTGCCCTGAGTCATCCATAGAGCCAACATTTGAATCTTCATCTCTATAGGAATTCTCTGCACTTTATAGTCCTGGGAGTAAAATCTGTGTCTCCTGACTTCCTGTCCGGTGCTCCTTCTTCCTACCGCAGGGAGGATTCCTTGAGAAATAGTTCAAACCTCCCAACTTCAGGTTTGATTTGCAGAAAGCTTGTTGCTGTAAGCAGTTTGACCTCCCTGAGCCCTGAGTGAGGAGAAACAGCCCTCGAAGGCCTGGCATTATGCATCTGTGGTCCGAGAGAGGCCAGGATATGATTGCCCATTGAGCTTGCCACTTTTGAGGCCACACATATGCCCCAGAGTGAGGCCCAACTCTACCTCCCGGCAAGGTTCCTGTTGTGCCTCCACTCAGCATCCCAGGCACCATAACAAACCAGGGCTTCCATGAGGGGGCAGGCCAGGACCTGTTCACAAAGGCTTTCTGGGAGCTCCAAGGCCAAGGGCTGAGATCAGCCCAGTGCTGGGCTTAGGGTGGGTCGCAGGTGGGAGACCAGCCACTCTGGGCTCCCAGATGACACCTCTCCCCTTCCTGTCCTGTCCTGCTCACCTGCAGCACTCTTGGGAATCCTCTATGAGGACAAAGAAAGACAAGACTTCATCTTCACTATCTACCACTGGTGGCAGGCAGTGGCCATCTTCACCGTGTACCTGGGCTCAAGCCTGCCCATGAAGGTGAGCCTTAGTGCTGGGAGGAGGGCCTCTGGGGCGTTAGCAACCCACGTGGCAGCCCCCCAGGCCACAGATACTTTCTGAGTGCCCACTGTAGCCTCACAGTCCCCAAAGGGCTCCAGTCTCCAAGGTCTGGTCCTATGTCAAACCCACTGAGTGGCTCCTAACCCAGCACCTTCTTACTGCCTCACTTCCCACGGCCCTCAGTTTACCCATCTCTGAAGAGGTTCAAGTTTTTCTTTCCTTGTGGGTGCCCCCGCCCCACCCCCGCAGCCACTTTGTGGGTAGTTTGATGACCTGTTCACAGGGGTCAGCTCTGAGCTGAGTGTGGGAGAGGCTTTCTCCCTTCCTGGCCTGCGGGGGGTGGAGGGAGGTGGGGGGATGGGGTGGGTGGAGGGCAGGCTTCCTCTTGTCCTCTGCTCCCTCCCACCTACTGGTGGGTGGGTTTAGCAGGTCCCACCAACATTGGAAAAAGATGAAATAGAATAGAGGGGCTGACCCGCGAGTCCCCTGCATCCGTGTCTGTGCCCTCAGGCCAAGCTGGCGGTGCTGCTGCTGACGCTGCTGGCGGCCGCAGCCTCCTACCTGTGGATGGAGCACAAGCTGCAGCGGGGCCTGGTCCCGCGCCAGCCCCGCATCCCACGGCCGCAGCACAAGGTGCGCGGCTACCGCTACCTGGAGGAGGACAACTCCGACGAGAGCGACGCGGAGGGCGAGCACGGCGGTGGCGGCGGCGGCCTGGGGGACGGTGTGGAGGAGGAGGTGGCACCCGCGGGGCTCCGGCCCGGCCCCGAGCCAGGCGGCCTCGGCCGCCGACCCTGCCCCTATGAACAGGCCCTGGGGGGCGACGGGCCCGAGGAGCAGTGAGGGGCCCAGCCAGCTCACCGGCCTCGGTTTACCGCGTCTCAGGTCGGGGACCCTGCAGTGCACCATCCTCAGGAAGGACCTTCTCCCCGGGGTGCGCGTTCAGGAACCGAGCCCAGGCCTGGGGCTGAGAGAGAGCACAGACGACCCCCCTCCTCCGGGGTCTGCTCCCCACGACCACGCCCAGGCCCGAGAAGTGTCGGGGTCCTTTGCCGAGCTGCCCCCCAACCCCGCCCCAGCGCTGCCCTCCTGCCCGCTCTGCAGGTGTGCCACAGGCTTTGCACATCCTATCCCCACGGCCCGTCTAGGGGCATGACTTTTTATAGAAAATGAGAAATAAAGAGGTTTTGTATTGTCCTGACTGGGAAATGTTAGGCTGTGGGGGTAAGGGGAGCACCCCAATGTGTGCCTGCGGAGCCTGCTGGGCCACTGATTTCGGACCCCTGGACTCCCGTCAGTAGGGGCAGAGGGGATGATTGTCTGAGCTCAGGTGTACTTGGCCACTGTCCTCTCCCAGCTATGGCTTCAGCAGCTGTGCTCATGAGAGACACAAACCCCCTACAGCCTGAGGGTGCCCCTTTCTCCATAACCCCAAGGGAGGGACTGAGACCACACTGGACAGGGTTTGAATGCTTGGGTAAGGACAGGTAAGAGGGCCACAGGAGGGTCATGGAGTCCCTGACTGTGCCCCAACAGATCCTCTCCTGGGGCCACACCATTCCTCACTCCCCACACCCCCTCCATTCCTGAAGACCAGGTCGGGTCCACACCCACTTCAGCATTAGGTCTCTCAGATTCCACCACTCGTAGACGGTGGCTCTCCTTCCTCCTTTGCCCTTCATGGACCTCACTTGAGTTTCCATCTAGGAACTCCTAGGGAGCCCTAGAACCAGGCTCTGTGACCTCAGGCAAGGGCCCGGCACATCAGAGCCGTAGGTGCCTTCTTGGTAAAGTCTGTCTCTGTAAATCAGGAGTGTTTGAAATTGCTGAGTGCCGTAGCTCCAAGGTATCCAAGCCCTGTAGGTAACTCACAGGAGTGCAGAGGACCTTAAATTTTCTAAAGTTTGGAGGCAAATAGCATACCATATATCTGTCCACCCCAAGCAAACTGCTAGGTCTAGGTGGCTCACAGGTTCAACATTAGATCACACTGCATTCCCGTCATGTTATAGCTCTGAGAAGCTAGGTTTCCTGTGGTTTGGGGGATAAATGAAAATCACCATGGACCAGGAAATGAAGCTGGGGAATCCAGTCTGATTTTGAGGTGTCAGGAGCTTGCCACCACACAGCCGATTGGTAAGTGGTAGTTTTAAAGAATGAAATAAAAGTACTGAGTTTTTTCCCTACTTATGTGCATTTTATTTCCTAAATGACCACTAGGTTGTTAGAACATATTATTTGGACCTAAGATAATTGGTTAACAGAACTATTAGATATTTCTTTTGGCCAAGAAGCGCTGTGGAAAATTGCTGAGGCATCAGGCATGTCAGGACCTGAGAATGTTGGGCACCCCCTGGGTTAGCACAGGGCTGGCACGGAGAAAGCCCTCAATGGATATCAGCTATTGTGTATCTGTCGCAAGTCCCTCACTGGACTTTGGGGCACCCCTTGCCCAGAGGACTAGCTGCATTCTTTCTGAGCCCAGTACTAGGGAAGGTGAAATCTATGTTTTGTGACTCCTGAGAAGGGAGCCCCCCTCCCCAGGCCAGTTACCAGGTTGTCTTTGGCAGATTCTGGGGTCCTGCGGTCATGAAGGACTGGGAAGACAGCAGCTCTAGCCAGGGCCACAAGTCCCCTCACCCAGCCCTCCGAGCAGGTGGTCTGGACGCTCAGGCAATTGAAGATTGGAAAACTTCCTCCCTTACACTCAGACTTTCACTGACAAGCAGACCAGAAAGTGTCACATCATGTGACCTGTAGTCCGGGTGAGTGCCAGCACTGCCTTTCCGGTTCCCTATCAGTTCCCTATCAGCATGGAAAGGAAATTTCTCTGGCAGCACGTGTCACAACATGCTCCTGGCAGGATTCCAGCTAAACTCCAATCAGAGCTAGGCAATCAGACATTTCGATAATAAGCCTCTGAGGGCAGGACTGGGTGCTCTTCAGGGGAGTGTGGGCTGCAGGATGTGCTGGGCAAACATGGAGACGAGACAGGAACAGGTCTACAATCTGTCAGAGTCCAAAGTCATTTCTAACACCCATTTGAATACTAGGTAAAGACTCTGATGTTGAACAGATGGGAAGGTGGCCCAGGAACATGGAGCAGCCACTCGAGATGGAAGCATGGTCTCTGATCACGCTCCTGGTGGCAGGTGAGTTCCCCATTAGTAGACTTCACACACCCCCTTACTGCTCCTGGAGCATGGATGAGACCCACACGCTGTCATATGACAGTCAACACACACCCAAATGTGTCAGGCAACACATGAAGGCAACAGGCAGATACACATTACAGGTACTATATATGTGCTCACACACATAACAGGCCACACCCATGACAAACGACACACAGTGCACCCAGGACAGGCAGTGTAACTGCTCATGGCCGCAAATCCCAGCAGGCTGGCCCTTTGGAGGCAGGGCTAATTGAGCCATGACATGCTCCACCCCTCGGGAGCTCCAGGTCCAGTTGTAAGCTATGACATTGACATTGATGTCATGTCCCCTTGTCTCTATCAGCTCTGGATAAAGTGATGGGGTGCAGTTTCTGGACCCCTGAGTGGAAAGAAGATCAGACTGTGTCAGGGCCATCTCTCCTCTGACTCTGGTCACCACCATTGTTTCAAAAGTGGTTCTGTGATTTTGTCAATCTGCACCAGGAAGGTTTTTATTTTTTTAATTTTAAAGAAGATTTTTATTTATTTATTTTAGAAAGCGTGCTCCTGCCCACGAACAGGAGAAGGGGCAGAGGGAGAGGGAGAGAGAGAATCCTCAAACACTCCCCACTGAGTGCAGAGCCCCATCATGGGACTCGATCCCAGGACCCTGAGGTCATGACCTGAGCCGAAGTCAAGAGCTGGAACTTTACTAACCGAGCCACCCAGGTGCCCCAGGTGTCTGAGATTCTCTCTCTCTCTCTGCCCCTCTCCCTACTTGCGTGCACACTTAGCACCTGTGGACATGGCATAAAATGTATTCATCACATAGTAAACAGTAAAAGGATTTCCCAGAGAGAAGACTCTGTGGGTCTAGAATGAAACAAGAATGAGCAGGAAGGGTGGCTTTGGATCTTTGCTGTGGTTGAGGGGGGACCTGAGTGTGGGGGTCCTGTGCTGACAGGCTGGAGCTTTGGTGGTGTGAAAGGGACCTGCAGAGCTATGGCGTGAATGAAGCTGGAAAGCACCTGCTCAGTGAAAGAAGCTGGACACAAAGGCCACACAGTACAGGGTCCCATCAATGTGAAAGGTCCAGAAGAGGCAAGTCCTTGAAGACAGAAACAGATTTATGGGTGGCAAGGGCCTGGGAGGGTGGAGTGAATGCATGACTGCTGATGGGTCTGGAGTTTCTCTCTGGAGTGTTGGAAATGTTCTAAAAGTAGATGATGGTGATGGTGACACAACTCTGAATATACTGAAAGCCACTGGATTATATAGACAAGGATTGTCCATTACAAGGATGAATTTTAGGGTATATGAATTATATTTTAGTAAAGCTGGTGTTGAAAGGAAAGGAATCTGGCATCCAATTTAATAATGATTGAAAATTTCAGGATGATTGAAGGTCTGCAGAGTAAGGGAAGGTATCGTCAATTAAAGTTTCTAGAAGGTTAGCAGAGTAGGCATTAATTACAGAAGGCAGAGCCTATTTGGTGCGTGGTAAGCCCAACACTGATTAAGGCTGTGGGCTGTAATTTTAGTTAGGGATATACAGTGGCACCTGGCTGCTTTCAGTCAGAAGAGCATGTGACTCTTGATCTCAGGGTTCGAGCCCCATGTTGGGTGTACAGATTACTAAAAAAAAAAAAAAAACAAAAAAAAAAAAAAAAAAAAAAAACTAAAAAAGACAGTTGACCCTTGAACCACATGAGTTTGAACTGCATGGGTCCACTTATACTTGGATTTTTTACGGGGCTATAAATATATTTTCTCCTCCTTATGATTTTGTTAACATTTTCTTTTCACTAGCTTACTTTATTGTAAGAACACAATACCCAATACATACAACATACAAAATATGTGTTAATTGACTGTTTGCATTATCCATGAGGCTTCCTGCTAGCAGTAGGCTATTAGTAACTAAGTTTTGGGTGACTCAAAAGCCATACTCAAATTTTCAACTGCACAGGGGGTCAGTGCCCCAAAGGTAAACACCAAGCCCTCATGTTGTTCAAGGGTCAACTGTAATATTATTTGGAGTAATTCTGAGTTCAAGAGGTTGGGGCTCAAGGTCCGTTTTTGGAGAGATTTGAGAAGTGGTATGATTTTTCTAGAAGGTTGTAAGGGGGAGGAAAGAGCGTGTATGGGGAAGGTGACACAGGATTTAGCTCTGGAATTAAGTCCATCCATTCGCAGGGACCTGGCGGTCAGAGGGCTGTTACCATTGAGGCAGAGGTCATCAGGATGCAAGAGTGATTTTGTTGTAATTTGGAATATAGTCATTTTGAGCCAAAATGACTACCGTTAGGCATAGAGTTGTATTGGTCAGGGAGGTACAAAGCTGGACAAATGTCATAGGATAATGTGTCAATCACCCTACCTGCAGCATGTATATCCACACTGTGGGTGTAAGGAGGCCAAGAGTGCCCACGTTTAGTTTTGATGCCAGTACTTTAGAACAATTCCATTTGCTAATAACAATGATCATAGAGAGGCATGAAGATCAGAGGCCTTCTGTAGGTACAATCTGTCATTTTTTTTAAGATTTTATTTATTTATTCATGAGAGACACAGACAGAGAGGCAGAGACATAGGCAGAGGGAGAAGCAGGCTCCATGCAGGGAGCCTGATGTGGGACTCGATCCCAGGACTCCAGGATCATGCCCTGGGCCAAAGGCAGACGCTCAACCACTGAGCCACCCAGGTGCCCCACAATCTGTCATTTTGGAGGCCTTTTGCTAATAAGTGTGACTCCCTTTTAATTTTAAAAGATGGTCAGTTGAAAAATTTCAACAGTTTATATATTGTTGGAATGGACTTTATCTTACATCATAGGAGGCTGTGGCCCCTACAAAAATATTGAAGAAGTCAAAAGATACTGGATGGTAATGGGGCCAAATGATGGCCCATGGGTATCTCAGATCTGAATGGGACCCCCAAAAGAATGGCAGTGTCCTTGACCCAAGCCTAGCTCAAATAACAGCCAGAAAGCTGAGCAGCTGCATTTTTATGCAATGGTCTGAGGTCCCGGAAGGCCTGACT